GCCAGGATGGTCTTCGTACAATTTAAAGCCATAAATTCAAGAGTGTCAAAGTTGGAACAGGTTTCTGTGTCTCATACCAAGCTATGCTTTGATCGTGCAATATTTTCTTTAGGATTCCCTTAAAGGTAAAGGGACTAAAAAAAAAAGCCTGTGGCCATTTTATAGCCATCTCTTTCCCCTCAACATCTTGGGTATACGTTCTGAAGTTGAGGGTCTTGCATCATACTGAATACTAGTGCAAACATTCTTGGCAAAGCGGAAAGGGTGTGGGTGATAAGGTGAGTAGCAATAAAACATTGTTTCTCCATTATACATGGTTAGGAGCCAAAGAAACCAATTTGTGTTGAATAGACTGTCATTCAGATCATTTGTAAAAGCAAAGAAAGTAGATAGGAAAAATGTGGCAGTGGGCTATGTCAAAATGTGTGTGTGTGTTTTAATCCTATTTAAAGAAGAAAGCAAAGAGCCCCATGAACACCCATTCACACTGCTCACAAGACGTCCACATCAAGGGAAAAGGAGAAGGCACATCTTCCTGGAGCCATGTGACAGCCAGCTTCGTATCGAGCGGGAGGTCCAGTTCCACCCAGGGGAGAGCCAGAGGAAAGGCCTGTCACCTTGCCTCTGAAAATTAAAACCCTGTGGAGCACAGCTCCCCTCGGCACATAGGGAGTCTGGTAAGTCATGTAAGCCTGTCTTATTTAAGGAAGGGAAATAAAACACAGGTCTAGTGTTGGAGTCCAAACATCAAGCATCACATTTCTCGCTTGCCCTTGTTTGATGAACTCCAGGGAACCAGCACAAGAAGATTTGGGAGGGTTAGCTCTGAGTGTCTAGCTGGGGGAAAGGGCCTAGATTTCACTCTGGATTTTATTTATATATTTATGCTTATTTGATGGGACCTGAAAATAAGTAAAACAGGTAGGGAGCTTATGGACTCTGTTACAACCCAGAGTTGGCTTTGGAACACTCCTTCATTCATTTCTTCCCTTCGTGTGAGAGGAGGAGAAGTAGCCTGCGGGTGTTCTAAGAAAGCCCACATCCAGAGATTAACACCAGCTTGCTGTGGAGGTGAGGTCACAGCCAGAATGACACAAACTATCTTCAAATGACTGAGCCAATTCGACTTCCGAAATGTCAGTCACAGGCTTGATGTCCGTGGTTGGGTCACATGAATGTGTAACTGTACGTAAGTACGTGCTTGTCTGTGGATGGGAAAGGGGAGAGAGGAAAAGCAGGACACAAAAGAGAGGAAGAAGAAAAGATTATCACCACGGAGAAGGAAGATGGGGAGGAGAGGGATGGAAAGAGATCCACAGAATAAAAGGGGAAAAGGGAAGGTTAAAAATAAAGTAGACAGGAAAGGCAATATGGCAAAGAAATGAAATTCTAAGAGGGTGGCAGTTGTTGGCTCTGTAGAGAAAGTGCTGACATTTCTAAGGAAAGTGATCTTTCTATTAGTTTCCTACTATTGCTGTAACAGATGACCACAAATGGTTTCAAGCTACACAAATGTCTTATTTTACAAATCTAGGGGGCTCAGGGGTAGGAACAATTGTGTGGGTGGTGCAGAACTTAACATTATTTCTTTCTGTTGTGCATTGGGTTGCTATGGGTCTGTCCAGCTCCATGACAACTAACAGCCACTGCAGCAACAACAGAGGGAAGGAGCTGATGATGCCTCTTGGTGGCTAAGAAGCATTGCCAGCAGGGCCGTGTTTCTTTCTTGAGGCTTGAGAATAGGCGTCCCTGGTGGCACTGTGGGTTCATCAATGGATTGTTAACTGCAAGGTCGGGGGTTCAGACTCACCAGCCACTCTGAGAAAGGAAAAGGTGGTTGCCTGTAAAGATTTGAATTTCATGGCAGTGAACAGACAAGGATGACTTGTCCAGTTTCTCAAGAGTGTCCTCATTCCTTGCCTGATAATCCCTCTTTTCATCAAAGTCAGTGATGCCCGATAAGAGTTTTCCTCATATCATATCACATCACCCTGAAGACCAAATCACTCAGACACAGGCTCTGCTCCCTTCCCCTTCCACATTTAAAGAACTCCTATGTTTACAAGGGATTCGCTTAGAAAATACAAGATCATCTTATTTTCAGGTCAGCTTCTTAGCAACTTTATACATTCTTATTTCCCCCCTTGCCATGTATTTTGGATTAAATTCTTCCCAAGGCATATGTTGAAGTCCTCACTTATGGCACCTGTAAATCTGATCTTGTTTGGAAATAGGGTCATTGAAAATGTATGTGAGAAATTAGTGAAATGCCATACTAGTACAAAGCAGGTCCCAATTTAATTTGTGGCTCTTCTAAAAGAGGAGAAGAGGCACGGGAGACATCCACAGAAAAGTGACAGCCATGAGACGAGTAGTGGAGGGCATTGCCAAGAGCAGCCAGCAACTAGGAGAGAGACGTGGGACAGAATCTTCCCCCAGCTGGCAGCAGGAACCAACACAGCTGTGTTGGACTTGCGGATTGTGGATTGTGGACTTGCGGAACTGAGACAATACATTTCTGAAGCTTTAAGACACCCAGCGCTTTGAGATGGCCGCTCATGACACGGTGTCATGTAATTTATATCTGGGAACGAGGACATGGGGTTCTTGGAGGAGGCAACATTGTGCTGAGCACAGCTTTTTATCAAGCATAGTATAGAAAGGCAAGAGACTGAACAGCCACTTGGGACTTCAGATGTTAAGAAACTGGAGAAAAGTCACTTATCAAGAAAAGTTGGGGTGTGTGTGAGGTGAAATGTGTCTTCTAGATAGTGTTTGTGTATTGGTAACGTCATACCAGTGTGCCTTTACTGCTCATTAGCTCTGCAGCGTCTACAGAGTAGATTTGCTCATGGGACTACTTTCCTGAAGACGGCCTAGCTTTTCCTAGCCTGCCAATCAAGTTGACCTATTCCAAGTCTCCTTCCTTCAAACCTTTCTCTCTTCTTTTTGCTCTGCTTTCCTGATTATGTGGCATGCATGTATATAAGGTGACCAGATGTCCCACTTTTGGTGGAACAGTCCCGATTTTTAACAATTTTTCCCACGTCCGGTGGCTTTAAAAAAGTCCTGATTTTTGGAAAGAATGAACAACGAGCTAGGGTACTGTATATGGTTTTCGGTTGCCATGTGGCTATTTCACCAGGATATGAGTTTTATCAATGGTGTCCCACTTTACCAATGTTAAAATCTGGTCACCTTAGCATTGATGCAAAGTATTGGGATCCATTAAGGCTGTGCAATTCATTCCAAATACCCTTTTAACTTTTGTTGTGTTAGTCTGGGTACATTAGAGAAACAAATCCATAGAAACTCATGTATAAGAGAGAGTTTTATATAAAGGTTAAGGGCACATCAAGAAAACAGCCCAACACAGTGCTGCCCAAGCCCACAAGTCCAACATTAACCCATATGGCCAACACCAATCCACAAAGTCCTCCTCCATCTTACCAAAGACACGCAATGACGCCAACTGCAGGAGGAAAGCCAAATCAGTGAATGTGGAAGCATCTCAGTGCTGGCAGGGGTCTCCACACGGCTGCTTCAGCACCCAGGTCTGCATCGGGGTAGGTCCATGTGGCTTCTTCTCAGGGATGTCTCACAGGAAGTGAGATTTGCCAGCTGAAGCAGGGAACTGGCTAAGGCAGCTGCACCTAGTCCGACCATCAGAAAGCAAGATACCGGAGAAAGGCGAGGTTCACTGAGTCATTTATCCCTCCACCCTTCAATTAACACTTGTGTTTATCGACCAGGTTGGCACAATAAACTTTAACTATCTCATTTCTCTATAGTACCTTTACCTCCTGAGATCATGCTGGGGGACATTTTCAGATGGTGGTTGGGGGAAATGTGACCATTACTGTTGCTTTTGCCGCAGCACTAAAGCCTCTAAATAAAAGTGTCCTGCAGATGGCCAGCTTTCTTTAAAAGTCCAGGGGTACTTGTGTTTGATGACAGCTGAGCGCGTCTCATGGAGAAGCTGTTCAAAAACCTCCTGAGAGTAATTATTGATAAAACATTTAACTTGAGTATTACTTCAAGAGGCATATAAAGAGGGATAAAATTATATCCTGATACCTAAGCAAACTTCTGGACCTCAATATAAAAGGTTCTGTGATGTGTTTTTTGTTTTCCCTAACAGCTATATGGAATGGGAAAATAGTCCTTTTTCCTGAATCTCCTCTTCTCCCATAGCCAACAGTTATTGCATCAGTAATAATGCCAAAGGGTAAACAAAAGAAAAAAGAAAAGGGATATCTTGATCTTTTGGTCTACACAGTATCATTGGTAGTGGGTGGTTACATGCTTTGCTAAAATTCTAAGGTCCACAGTTTGAAACCACCAACTTCTATGAGTGAAAACAGATGAGATTTTTCTACCCCTGTAAACAGTTACAATCTCAGAAACCCACAGGGGCCATTACACCCTGTCCTATAGGGTTGCTATGAGTCAGAAATGATGCAATGGGAGTTTTGTTTTGAAATCTCATTGGAAGGAGCCCTGGTGGCATTGTCAGGTAAGCCTTGAACAGCTAACTGAAAGGTCAGAGGTTCAAACCCACTAATCACTCCATGGGAAAAACTTGAGGCAATCTGCCCTGGTAGATTTACAGAATTGGAAACCCTATCTATGGGTCAGATTTGCTTCAACAGTAATGGTTGGGAGGTTTAAGGATCACTGAAGGAGTCCTGGTGGCTATATTGGGTAAATATTGGATCATAAAGATTTATAGCTTCAAAAACCCTATCTCTGTGGGTCGAAATTGACTTGATAGCAGTGTGTTTAGTTTTGGTAAAGATCTTTGGGTCCTACATGTGGCAAACAGTTAATGTGCTCAACTGCAAGCAGTTTGCCACCCAGAGGCACCTCGGAAGAAAGGTTTGGTGATCCACTACCAAAAACGTCATTAGAAACCCTATGGAGCATAGTTGAACTCAAAGACACAAGAGATGTACGTGAGGATCAACTCCACAGCAGCTGATTGATTACTGATATGACAGTCAAGGTTAACAAATATTTTTATTTTCAGGCTCATTGTATCAACTGAAGAACCCTATCACTAATAACAGCTTATTCAGAAGTGATATTTCACAAAGATATGTAGATTAAACAAGAATATCATCATCTTGGTAGAAAAGTTTGGAACGGAATCATCCATGGTCAGGGCATGGATAGGGCAGAGGGTCCTTTGCTGATATACTCAGATCCTTTACTAGTTTTGAATCAGTTATGAGCATTTGGGAGAAGAAACGAAAGATTTAGACACTCTGTTCAGCCTTGCGCGAGGCATTCCTTCTCAGATGGGTTACGTCTGTTATACAGTCACAGGGGAGAGTGACAAGCAAGACTCACATCTTCAAAGCGTTTAAAACACAGAACATACTAACCCAGCAAAAGAAGCAGTGCTGAAATATGCAATCCAGGGAGATAGTGAGTGATGTGAGCTTCCTTGAAGGAGGCTGATAGGAATGCTTAGAGAGACTTCATGATAAAGCCCTCATATAATCGACTCAGTGGCAGAGAATGTGTCGTGCTATCTATTATTAGATAAGAACTTAATAAGGAACAGCCCAAAGAAGAACTTTTGTGTTTTTAAAATCTTGATCTCACTTCTAATTTATATTTGGTAGATCAAGGAAACATCAGATCCATGAGATACACAAAGTTAGTCAATATTAATTTCTCTTCTGCTAGAGAAATATTCAGCATCTCAGACAGTATAGTGGAAAATATTATATTTGATTAACCAGATAGTCAAAAAGTGAAGGAAAAAAAACATTCACCAAGGGAAGAAAGCTGTGGACATACCCTCTATTCCAAAATAATTAACCCACTACGTTTCCAGGAATATTTCTGGGCCAAGCTCTGTCTCAAACCTGCCAGAAGGCAGGCCTTGACAGAAATTGAACTTGAGCATATGGTATCTTAGTAGTGTGTTCAGTTTCAGAAATGTGTAAGATAATAGGCCTTGATAATTAAAACAGCACATTTGTTTATAAGCATAACTTGATCTGGGGCATATTGTTAGAAATTTTAGCAAGCAACAGTGTTTCTTTCAAGACTAATTAACTATCAGAACATGAAATATATTCTGAATTATTCCCTCACCCCAATTAGTAGAATGAATGTTTTCTTTGGGGTGACCCAAAGACACAAAGCTTTCAAGATGATGATGGATCATTTTGAGTCGTGTAGTTGGAAATGGAGAGCTACACCATGGTCATCCTGGAGACATAATCTTTGCCTCAATGGTGTTTCTACTATGTCTGAAGACTAAATCTTGTTGTTGTTCATCTGAATATCTTAGAGGTATTTTCTTACTTTGTATTAACAATTTTGATTTACCAGTGTTTTTAAAATAAAGTATCACATGACTCTGTCATGAATGTGAGAAGTAATTAATTAATAGCCAATCCTGTATATACTCATGTATAAGCTGAGTTTTCCAGCACATTTTTCATGCAGTATGTGTGGTAAAATTAGGCACCTCGGCTGATATTTGGGTCGGCTTATACTCAAGTATAAGCATTTTTATTATTGCATCAGTAATAGTGTCACAAGATCCAAAAAGATTGATCAATCTTTTAAAAAAATCCTTCTAAACATAGGGATACTAGGATATTTAGTGTTAACTCTGAAACCAAATAATTTGTATTTCAAGATACCTAGCTGGGTCAGACATTTCTATTTAGTAGGAGAAATGGTGTATAGATTACAAAAAGTATATGCTTTTGCTTAGTCTCTTTCATCCAACCTTTTATAAGCTTCCATGGTGTGTGTGTGTGTGTGTGTGTGTGTGTGTTTCATTCAGATGCTGGCCTTGATAGGGATGTCTTCAAGTAGATAGCCACGAATCAGCCATTGGGAGGAAAGCACTGAAGAAGGCGTCTAATTACCCTTGTCTGACAAATGTTTAACTAGGAGATGTTCAAAATAAGATGTCCACACAAATAAAAGCAGGGAGGACAATGTTTTAAAAATTAGTAGGCTTTCGTCTAAAAAGTCCCATAAGGTCTTTAAGAAGATGAATTTTCTATTCATTTGGAATCCTTGATTCTAGAAACATTGGGTGTACAGCCTGGAGAAATAGCTTAGTTCATTCTAATAAAAAATAAAATGGCGTCTAAAACAGTTTGAAAAATGAACATCTGTAATTTAACTTTCAATTGCCACTTGGTATGTGATAACATTATTTTAAAATAGTTGGCGCTAACAGCTCTGAGTTGAGGTCATATCGGGATACTGGTCGGTGTCTCATCTGCTTTCTTGTCTGTACCTGGGCTTGGTGATGAACTAATCCAGAGGCATTGTATCCTGAAACAAATGTGCACATTACTTCCCATCTTCTGGACAGAGCGATGTTTTACTTTATTTTGAAAATACTAATAAATGGAAATAGTTAATACAAAGCATGATCCATTACTTTGCAAGGGTAGCTCAGATTACAAGGAATTACTTTCCCACTCCCTCTCTTTTGTAATTAATTACACATGATTTAATACCTGGGTTGCACGTGAAATTCATTTAAAAACCTGTCGCATTTTCAGTTGGCTTGAAATAAGGCAATGATGGAAGAACCAGTCTTCGGCCCCCAAGACAGACACTGACTGACACCCGAAAGTGGATGGAAATTGATTTTCTGCCACATACCAGGAAATCACCAGAGAAATACAACATAAAGCAAATATTTACTCCCCCAAGGTAGCAGGGCGTCTAGTTTTACAGTGGACATCAACAAAGTGCCTGGTTTGTTACCGATGAACACAGGGTTCAGGAGCTCAAAATTAAGTTACTCTGTTGAAAAACCAATCACAGAGACTGTCACTCCACTTGCTGGTTTGACTTCCCAACAAAGGTTTCAATGAAGGCTCTGCAAGTACAGAAGGTTAAGAGATCTGTTCTCTGTCAGGTCTGTGTGGGTGGGAGAGACAAGTGATTCGGTTATTAGCATGATTTGAATGAGGAAGGTGTTTTTTTCTAGGAAAATATTAAATCATTGTACACACACAAATCTACAATTAAACAATTATCTTTAAAAGTGATATGAGAAGAAATGGTGCATTTGAAAGGCACTTAATTCATTCATACAAGAACCGGTCTGCAATTGCCTGGCAGGAAATCTACTGCTGTTCAATGTTTTCTTTGCAGTGCCACCAGAACTGGGGAGAAGGATCCCGAAAAAGCATCGTCATTGCCAGTAAAGCGTATTCAGACTGTGGTTTTGAGGAAGCGAGCCTTTTTCTTGTCACTTGGCTTCATGTTGGGTCACCACTCCAGCCTTGAGCAGTTCCCCGATGGTGTGGTCATCGTACTGCAGGGCCTCCTTCAGGATGTGCACGGTGTGCTGCCCGAGCAGAGGAGGCGGCCTGACGGCCGACATCTTGAACTTGCTGTATCTCACAGCTGGGCCTGTCAAAGGAGGAGGAATGCAGGAAGCCTGTTAATGACTAGCCTTCGGAAATCAATTACCCCAGCAGCCTGGGGTGTTCTCAAGGAACGCCAAGAATATCCTTGCCAGTTACACCCTTGTAGAAGCACCATCATTTTGAGGAGAGAAGTCTTTTCACAGGCAGCTGTTTTTGACTCATGTTTACCCAACTAAGAAGTGGTCATCAGACAGATCTCACCATAATCCAGGGAGCCCTGGTGTTTTGGTTGAGCATTGATTGCCAGTTCAAAACCACCAGCAGCTCCATACAAGCCATGTCTTTGTTGATGGGAGCACTCAGTCCTCCGAGAAACATCAAAGTGCACTTTTTTATACCATACACCGTGTGCAACTTCCAACTGGTGTCCAAAGCTTCCTTCTCTGAATCTCAGCACAATTCATTTTGCATTTCTCACATTAACTTTCTAAAGGCTCTAATATATGATTTCACCCCCAAAGGTTGGCCTTTTTCTTTTTCAGGTATGTTAAAAAGCACACACATAAGCCCACTTGGGAGTCCAGACTCAGTCTGTTCTAAGAATGCTGGCATTTTAGAGATGATTCTTTCTCATTGCTTCTCTCTTCCAATTTTACATTGATGACAACCTTTAACAACCTATTATCTAACTGTGTTGCGTGTTAATGGTGTATGTATGGCAGTAACAATGCTGAGAGGCTTAAGGGCATGAGTCAACGAAGTCAGGCTACGATTCTCAGTGGTCCGGCAGTTATCTAATGATGTGATTTGGCAGTTAAATAACCATGTAGCCATTCCCCTTTTTGTGATCCAGGGTGGTTATTCTTCATGTTTGCACAATGCCTAATTTTTTTATAATGACCTGGTCTTTGGAAACTAACCATATTGATACGTGGGAGAAGGTATGTAAGTAAAAACAATTTTATTCTAAAAATTGACTTACAATAAATGACTCCATGGAAAGAGTACAAGCCTTCTGAGATTTATGTCATGTGACTTTCCCGAAGGAGCAGTCCCTTCAATATGCCAGGGGGCTGTTCTCGCTCCTTGCTCTCCAGCTCTTAGTCATTGTCAGAATATTTACTATTTCCCAAGATACTATGATGTGCCAAGGTTCCTGGTTGGCACCGTGTGTACTCTACTAGCCGAAATGCTGGTGGCTCAACTCTGTCCAGTAGACCGAAGGAAGAAATGTCTTGTCGTCTGCTTCAGTGAACAGTGCAGCCAAGAACACACTCTTGAGCAGTTCTATTCTGTAACGCATGAGGTCACCACAAGTTGATTGGAATCAACTCAGGGACAGGTTTTTGTTTTTTTGATTAATAATGTGTCAACCACGGTGTCAAGGACTCTATGTTTATCGTTTCATATAATCCTTGCAATTCTGTGTGTTGATTGCTGGTTTTTAGTTGGTATTGATTTTGCTCCTGACTAATGATAACCCCAAGCTCAATGAAACAGTCCTACATCATCACCATGATGAATTGAAAATAGAGTTTCATCCATCGGGTATTCATTGACTGATTTTTAGAACTACATTACCAGGCCTTTCTTTTTAGTTGGTTTTATTCTGGGAGCTTCACTGAAACCTGTTCTATAACATACAAACCTTACTGAGAGACATCAGCCAGTAAGGAAACCTGGGCCTTTCAAATGGAAGGCACAAATGCTATAAGTAAACAATCATTGCCCCAATTTTGTAGGTACACTGATGTTAGCCTTTATTTCCAGATTAAGACATTGAAGTTGAAAGAGGTTTAAAATGAAAGGATCAGAGTTAGTGTTAAACTTAGGGTATTAATACAACCTTCCCAGTGACACATAACTATGCATGATAGAGTTAGGACAATCCCAGGTTCACTGAGTTCAAGATTTTTAATTTCTGTGCAATGATCACATGGGGGCTTCTATAGGTCCAGCCATACTAAAGGATGGTTTCTCTTATATCATTCTCAAAATATACCATTCTTTTTGGTAACCTTCAGTTTACTCTGAAGTCTTCCACTACCTTAGAAAAGAGAATATTTAATCCTGACCATTAAAAGATCTTATAGAATCAAGATTGGTAGAGAGTTGTTGTTCGGTGCTGCTAAGTTTGTTCTGACTCACTGCGACCCTGTGTATAACTGAAGGAACCACGGTCCAGCCTCACAGTGGTTCTTATGTTTGAGTTCACTGTTGCAGAATAGTGTTACTTGCTCATGTTTTAGACTTGTTAGAATAAAGACATAGATATAAATATAAAATTTGTGATTGCTTATTTTGAAGAAGGACAAGTAAAGTGATAAGTAGATTTCAGAGAAAGCTCTTTCCATGAATCATTTGAAATCTCTGTTCTTGCAAACCTTACCCAATGATAAGGGCAAACAAGTAGAAGGGGGTAGAGTCTTTATACACAGTATTTTTCAAGAATCTTTATACACAGTATTTTTACACAGTAGAGTCTTTATACACAGTATTTTTCAAGAACACAAAATGCATGAGATAATTAGTTACATCTAAGATCCAGAGACTGAATAATTAGATCTGCCATACAAAGGTGACTTAACTGAACAGATAACTCTTGTGTCCTTAAATTATCATTTGGCAAAGTAACATGATGTTCTCATGTGCTTTCAAACACTTGCAAGTTGTGTGACCTTAATAATTCCTAAGATCTCTGAGCCTCAGTCTACACATTTCACAAAAATGAGATTTGCATGAGCACCAAGTAATGTGAATGAATATTCAATGTCAACAATTAGTAAAGGGATTCGTTTGAAAATAACAATAAATGTAACTTGAAAAACAATATTAACCAATGCATGGGTATCTTTGTTTATTTTTAAGGGGATGGTGACATTTCACTGGTAGGAATGTAAAATGATGCAATCTTCCTTGAAAAAAAATTTCTACTTAGTCAAGAACATTAAAAATGTTCCTATACTTTAATGAAAAAGATTACACTTTGGAAATAATAAGAAAAAAATTTTATTTAAGCAAGGGCATATAGAGATTTCAAAATCTACTTAATGCTCTTAACAGTTCCCTCCCTACCACAGGGCTCCCGACCCTACAGTCTATGGGAATTCGTTGTGTGGGATGCTGTATTTTGTTTGATTGGCGTTTTCTGTCTGCTCTACAAATAAGGACGATTCTTTAGCTCCTTCTTTCCTCATGCCCTGCCTCCCGTGCATCTTCCCCCAGCCTTTCCCCAGTAGATAACAACTCGATAGAGTTGCCAGATTGAATACAATTTGAAAATATACCCAGAACTTGGGCACTGGCTAAATAAATGAAAGTGATTTACATGGTGAGTACCAATAACTAGTCAATTCCACAGACCAATTTGTGTATGAAGCTTGAGGTTGAAATGTAAACTTTCACCTAAGCATAGTAACATTAAAAAAGAATTAAGGAGTATGACATCAAGAGTGAAAAAATAAGTGTGAGAATGAAGCTTAGCATTTTCATAAAAGAAACAAGATTTCCAAAAGATTGCTACAAAAAAGATACAATAATAGAGGATATGTGTGCAGACAGCATCAACTGAGAATCTAACACAATAAGTGAAAAAAAGAAATAAAAAGGGGATTTACACCTAAAACATCAAGGATAATAAAGTGTAAAAAGGTTCTTAGGAAGAGAGAAAGAGCAAACAAGTAGAGGGACAAAGAATGGGAAGGTGGAAACAAGCCCATCTATAAAGGTATGAAATCAGACAAAATAAATGAGCAAATGTTACATGGTATAAGGAAGAAAAAGAATTAGAAACTCTAAAATACTGCAACATTTGCATAAGTAATTCAAGATCCACATATGAAGCAAATTATAATGTGGCAAGATATTAAGTAATTGATGGAATATAATCAAAGAAAATCTATTTGATCTTGCTGCCAAGAACATTCTTTTGAATAGCACATATTATCTTGCATTACCCTCTACAACAACAATACTAAAGTTATCTATTTAGATGTATATATCCCCTATTGGGGAAATAAATGTCAATTATGATTGTTAATGAGTCCTCAATGGTGGAAAATAGGGAAAAAGAGAAAGCCATTGCTTAATACACATTGTTTGTGTGTGTGTGTGTGTGTGTGTGTGTAAACAATCATGAAAAAAACAGTGGTAATGGTTGCATGGTATAACTTTACTTAATGTTAGTGTATAATACATGTAAAATTGTTGAACTGAAAAAAATGTTTGTAAAAATAAGGTATTATTTTTGGACAAGCTAAAATTGACTATAACCACTCATCTGCATAGTTGAGATACTTTGGGGGCTGGCTACGATGATTAAGAACATCCTTTTTATATTTTGAATACCATCAGAGTCTCAGACTAAGGCAGACTAGGAAGAAAAGCCTTCTGATCTATGTCAGAAAGATAGTCATTAAATAGTCTTTGGTCACAACAGAATATAGTCTGATAATCGTGCTGAAAGTTGTGAGTGCTAGGTTGGAAGGTATCCAATAGGTCAGAAGGTCGCATTAATGTACACAACTTACCGAATACTGTGAAGATGCTGTCGAACTGTGAATGTTTCACTCTGTTGTACAAGGGTTCCCATGAGTTAGAGCTATCTGATGCCCATGAACAACAATAGCATTTCTAAGGGGAGATGCTAGAGAGCCTTTAGTTGTGCAAGCAAAGATTTTGCACAACAGTTTTGGCATGGATATAAAACTCTAGAGCTATTTCACTAGCTAAATATCACCATTTCAAAACAATATTTTCAAGGTAACAATATTTATATGAATGTCCCCAATGTTGTTTATTAATAAGCTACATGTGTAGCCTTTTCACTACTACCTAATCTCTAGTTCAAAATCTATTATATTGAGTGTTTGGTGTCCAAGCAAGAACATTTAATGAGTAAGAACCTTTAAAGCTCATTATTTTGTAGATAAATAAGTTTTTTTAAAAGAGATTCCATTCCTGAATATAATATTTAAAACTTGAACCAAAATTATCCCACAAAGCCATCATTAAACAACAACTTAGCTCAGTTAATAAAGAATG